GCCTGGGGGTGGGGGCATTGACACCCAGAGTGAACCTCTTATTCCCGTGTTGCAGGGGCTGGATTGAGCCGGGTGCTGCTCCAAGTGGCCTCCGACCAGCACATCAGGATGCTGCCACTCGCCTTCTTCAGGTAGCGGGACTGTACCAGGCCAGCCCCTCAGTCCCATGACTCACTGTGCATGACACCTAATTACTTTTTTAAAGTATCGCTATTGAAGTTAATTCAGTGGCTAGGACCTATAGTACAGATGTCTTCTTTTTAAATTTTTTAAAATTTAAATCATTGTATTGGGGGCTTGTACAACTCTTATCACAATCCACACATACACCCACTGTGTTAAGCACATTTGTATATTTGTTGCCATCATCATTCTCAAAACAGACATCTTCTTAATGAGGGTTAATGAGAAACCTTCTCATCCCTTAGCACTGAATACTGCATTTGCTTTGTTTTTCATTACCTAGACTAGTTAAAAACGTTCTAACAACATTTTACTAAGAATTTGTGTGGCAACTTGTAAAGTGCCTTTTCTATTTCTATTGTTGACCAGAAATTCTGCCTTTTTTATTACTAAATCTAGTGCCTGCTATACATAGTAAATGTATAGTAAGTATATGTTGAATAACAATATAAAGTATTGCTGTTTTTATTGCTTCGTTTGGTAATAATAATAAATTATATCAGTAAGTGTTCTAGTGCTAAGAATTATTGCATATTATAATCACCCAACTCAGGTAGAATTTTGAAATATCAATATTTAACTTAAGAATGCCCTGTCTATATTCATGAATGAGACTAGCATAACTTCTTTTCTGGAATTTAATTCATCTTATCTTTTAAACTGCTTTATTGAGCCAATGGACAAATGTTGTGTGAGACCACTTCTGTAAAAAGTGAGAAGAAAAAAAAGGTTTCTACAAGAAAGAAACTTTCTTTGAAGGTTGCCAGAGTGGGAGAGGAAAGGCGAGTGCATGACTAACTAGAGGTAGACATGTATTCACTTACGCCAATGGTTCTCTACCTGTGTGTCATGACCCCTTTGGGGGTCAAATGACCCTTTCACAGGGGCCACCCAATTCATAAGAGTACCAAAACTATAGATATGAAGTAGCAATGAAAATAATGTGATGGTTGGGGGTCACCACAACATGGGGAACTGTATGAAAGGGCGGCGGCCTTAGGAAGGGTGAGAACCACTGACTTAGGCGATACACAATAAAGGGAAGGGCATCACCAAATGATCAAGGCAAAGGAGAGGCGGAGAGGAGCACACGAGGGAAAGGCAGTGAAGATAAGCACCATTATAGGCAGCCCTGCCAGAAGAGCAGTAGTAAACACTCTGTGAGTAGATACATCGAAAAGGGGTGGGAAGACAAATGGGACTACAGTCATGAGGATATGTAAGTTTGATAGAGGACATTTCTACATGTGTATTAACATGTGCTGCAAATATACCCATGAATATAATAGAGCACACAGGGGATTAAGTGGGCATATGAAAACTTCTTCGCCATAGCCAAACACCTTGAGGAAATAAATTGTCGTGCCTTGGGGGCTCAGACTCAGGAAATACAAAGGTTAATGGGAATAACAGACCACAAAGACAATGTTCTGGATCCTACTTTGGGCAGTAATGGCTGAGGTCTTAAAAGCTGGTGAGCAGCCATCTAAGGTGCAGCTATTAGTCTCTTTCTGTCTAGAGCAAAGAGGAGCGAAAGAAATAAAAAAGATAAGCAAACAATTAGTTAAAAAAAACTAGTGGATCATGTGAACTCCAGCCTCCATGTCTTGGAGACCAAAAGAAGTAGCACTGCAGGCTCGGAAAGCGATCACAATAGTCCTGAACAGAAGTCACAGCCATCG